ATTCCGGCATTGCGATCTTTCTGCTCTCAGGTTTGTTGAAGAGTTACTTCAATATATGTTCCATTGTGAAGCAAAAGGACCCAATTCGAGCTCTCACCCAGTACCGTATATCCGAGGATGATTAAAAGAGTACGGGAATGGGCGCATGATTGAGGCTGAGTTTTTCTGCCAGGAAATATTGTGAGCTGCCATTTTGGCAATGTCTTGTGAAAGGGTCCCCTCAGTCATTCGCCTCAGTCATTCGCGTGATTGAAATTTCTCTGCTGTCTGCGTGCCATATCAACTCCACTTCGACATTTTTCAGACCGCTGTGCTCCTCCTTTTCAACCTCCTTTCTCTAATGTTCATATTCCCCGCATTTATCGGATTGGATCTTCGTCGTGTTCGAGCAGGAAGACGAGATCTCGTCTATTGTGGACCGGGAGAGAGCGAAAAAGAAGAAAAGTCTTCCAATGGCATACCATGCACTGTAAGCGCGTTTAACTCATTTCTTAGGCATGACTCTTCGCATAATAATCCACCTATTTCCTATATTCATATAGGAATCTTCTAAGGCCGACCTGACAAATCCCGCATTTATCGAGTACACCAGAGATCAACCTTGGTATACTGTAGGAGGATTCCTGACCAATTATTACATTCCTGCTTTGAAGCAGAAGTTTGTAAAGGTGGGTAGACAGATTCAATTCCAGTCATGACACATTCGAGCATACTGTAATTTAGATCACCGTTGTGTTAATTACCATCTGTGGAGTAATATTTGGCTTATATGGTATGCATAGTTCTAAATTGGGTCTCGAGTTGGCTGATGTCTTGCCAGAGAATACAGCACCTGCTGCCTTCATGAGGTAATGCTGTCTTTTATAATAAACGGCCTTCCAATTTTTCAAACATTTCTCTTTTTCAGAGCTCGTGAAAAGTATTTCTCCTTCTATCCTATGTATGCTGTGCTTCGCGGTGAAACAATCGACATTCCGAATCAACAAGCCCAGATCGAAGAATATCGGAAAGCACTAGGTGGAAATACACACTTTTTTCCTCTAATTTTCCACTCAACCAGCACAAGCAGCTCATTCGCAGGTGATACCAAATACGTGGTAAAAGCTAATGGCAATCTTCAACCGTATTGGATGTCGATGGTCCGAACATGGCTGGAGTCTTTGGATAGGGCACTTGAAAAGGAGCTCAAGGCCGGGAACATGGATCCGGTAACGGGAAGGCCAGTCAAGGGAAAGGTATGAAGTTTTGGCGGTTGTGGCAAAATCCAGCTATGCATTTTTTCTTTGAAGGACAAGCCGGCTCCCGAAGCACTTATCGCTCGTAAACTGGTTTGTTCGTATGGCCATAAATTCAACTGTACTGGAAGGGTATGTTCAGCTTATGATTATTGGAATTCCGCACATCGTTTGCGCATTTCAGATAGGCCATATAAAACTGGTTGAGAACGGAACCATTCGACCAGAGGGTTTCTATAACTACTTGACGGGTTGGTACAATGTGGACAACATGATGTACTATGTCTCTCAAGCATCCTTCTTCCCGAATCC